TGCGACATACGCTGCAGTCGGAAAGCGCGCGTAAAATCCCCAATGTAAGTAAGTGTGTGAGTGAGTGAGTAAGATGGATGGATGATGGATGAGTATGGTTTTACGCCGCTTTTAGCAATATTCCAGCAATATCACGGCGGGGGACATCAGAAATTGGCTTCACACATTGTACCCATGTCGGAAATCGAACCCGGGTTTTCGGCTTGACGATCGAACGCTTTAACCATCAGGCTACCCGACCGCCCCGAGTGAGTAAGAACTGTGAGGTCAGTTGAACGTTGTGTTGTGAACATGGTCATAACTTCGCCCATATTCAAAGGCCGATATTCTATCTGAACACGTCTCACCTGCCAACAGCAACAAACTCACTCACTCACTCACTTACTTATACTAAGACTGGAAAATGAGAATAAAAAAGATCAATTAAACATGACATAGTCACTGGCAATAGTATCGTTCTTGTAACGAACATCAAACCCTTTGGTGAAAAAGATATTGTAAGAAACAACACCGGAGAAAAAGTCCAAGCTCGGAAAAAGCCCCCACAAATCCGTCTAGGATATTAGTACGTGAACTCAACTGAAGGGTTACACCCGCCCTGGACTTTACAAACTCCCAAACTTGACACTGCTTTAACATCAAAAGCCACTAAAAACAAAACCCAACCCTACTACGATCAGTAGCTATCACTAAAATTCAAACTAGCTGGGACAGCTGGGTTCATATATACACTGATGTATCCAAGAATCCTATCAACAACAGTGCTGGTTACGGGATCCATATCCACAGCCCATGCACATTCTGTTCGCCTGCCTGATGGTCAGTCAGTATTCACGGCTGAATTGGAGGCAATCATCATGCACTCAAACTCATACCGGAATTTCCGGAAGCAAAGGCAGTCGTCCTATCAGACTCGCTAAGTGCACTTCAACAGTATTCCAGTTATATCACGGCGTGTCAGCTTGATGTGGGCGGAAAGCCCTAAGTGATGACGATCTTACCACTTCGGTGAAACACAGGAGCACGGGTATGGTGCTGACAAACCTAGAAACATAATCGGGGCAAACCGGGATTCGAAACCACAATCATAGGTTTCTGGCGTGCACGGGTGACGCAACTCTGCACAGCGAATTGCGGCGCCTTAGACAACTGGGCCACCCGTTCCCCCTCACACTGGCGAAGCTAGCTCAAGACAAAGCCGAGGTTTACAGCCTATTACCTTTAGTGGAGTAGCGATAAAAAACAAAATGAAAGCCTCCATAGCCCAAAGATGTCAAGCCCAGTGGGATGCAAGTAAGATCGCAGATATGGCTATACAAATTCAACCCAAGATCGACCAAAAGCCAAGGTCATACAATGAAAGGAAAGTTGAAATTGCCATCTCACGCCCCAGACAACATTTGATCTTGCAATCAACCTGAATCCATTGCTCACTTGTTATTGGAATGACAAGACCACGCCCACGCCTGGACTCGGTTAAAACAAGAATCACAGCTCGATCCGCTAGCTGTCATAGATAACCTAAAGCCAAGGGATGCAATCATATCAATATAAAAACAAAAATTCTATGAATACCAAAACTCACAATAGATATGTGTACCCTACTCACACAGATGAGAGACAGGTCAGCCCATGTTCATGTAAATATATGTGTGTATTTTGTACTAGTCGTCCCGAGTTCTTCCTGGTTAAGCTACCCTCTTTCGTCAGAACATTATATCACTTGTACATGTACATGTTTTCGCCATCACATGCAGATACATGTACATGTTTTCGCCATCACATGCAGATACATATACATGTCTTGTTCAACACTTGCAGGTACATGTGAGTGAGTGAGTTGGGTTTAACGCCGCTTTTAACAGTATTCCAGTTATATCGCGGCGTGTCAGCTTAATGTGGGAGGAAAGCCCGGAGTGATGCAGGTCTCAGACGTTTACCACTTCGGTGAAACCCACGAGCACGGGTATGGTGCTGACAAACCTAGAAACATAATCGGGGCGAACCGGGTTTCTGGCGTGTCCAGGGGACGCAACTCTGCACAGCGAATCGCGGCGCCTTGGACAACTGGGCCACCCGTGCCCCTCAGGTACATGTACGTATATAATCTCTACATATGTGGCTGTGATATACGAAGCTGTCATGGTGGTATTTCCAGTACTAACAGCTATATGTAGCTATGGTAATTCCTGCACTGAACTATATTAACTCATGGAGCCATGGCTCTATAGACTCGTTTCAATAATGGACCAAACGTCTTATTTGGTTCAAGGTTGTTTAGTGCTGCACTCACCATAGTCCAGGTATATTTAATATTTGATATTATGATCAACGTCCCAAGCCATCAAGCTACGATAACACAAAAGCAACCCAGTTTCCATGCCCGACCACCCGATCCATTTTGTCACTTCTTACAAGGCTAGGTTGCTGTCAATATTTATTAAAATCAGATCTTAGTTTTCGCTACCGCTAAACAAAGATCTGAAGACATCACATTACGGCTCACGTCAGAACGACCTTTCGCGAATTTTGACCGACCAATCAAATGACTGACACGAAATCGACATTGGCAGCTTTCTTGAGCTTTACGACACTAGTTTCAAACTGGCGACTACGCTTCGAAACATATTTTGACGTATTCTCGATTAAAAAAATTAAAACTGATCAGAAGAAAATTCTGGAATGGCTTAAAGATGGTCTAGATTGTATGGATATAATCATAAAACCCGTAACTGTCGTTCGGAATACCCCGTGTTAAATATATCGTGGTTGTATGATTAGAAAACACATTCCGACTGTCACGTTCATGATCTGGTAAGCGACGCTCTGATTGGTTGGATGAAAGGTAGTTCTGACGTGACCCGTAATGGGATGTCCTCAGATCTTGTTTAGCGATAGCGAGAACTAAGATCTGATTTTACTGAGATTGGGTTGCTGGAGACATAGTCCCAACAGGCTAGTAAGAGTATGTGTGTAAATTATTGAGACTGGACTATAAAATCCAGTGATATTTATCTTGTGAGCAACGATCCATGCCACACGCATTCGACCAAGTCAGCGAGTCCGAGCACCAAATGCATTACTTTTTCTCTTACGATCGGGATAGGTTGCCAGGGCCCAATCTAACCTGGAATCCCGTTGGGTGAGTGAGTATGGTTTTACGCCGCTTTTAGCAATATTCCATCAATATCACGGCGGGGACACCAGAAATGGGCTTCACACATTGTACCCATGTCGGGAATCGAACCCGGGTCTTCGACGTGACGAGCGAATGCTTTAACCACTAGGCTCCCCGACCGCAATGTATTTACGCAATCGTCCATGCTGTCGGTGGAGAATAACGAAATCGGTCTGGTCACATCACCTGCCTCTCATTTCATTCGGGCCTTGATACAAGCAGGAGGTACTGCGGGACCCTGAGTCCCATCTCTGTCACCTATCAGGGTAGCTGGACCTGTTGCATCGCTCAAAGGCAAGAGTGTCCACGAGCCAATATCAAAGTTCAGTTTTCATCATTTCCATTTCAAACCTTTTCTGTGATAAAATATGAGGACGTTCGCAAATTAGAGAACATTTTACAAAACCAGCGTCCAGGGCCCCGTTCCACAAAGCGAGCTCAGCGCTAAGGTGATCATAACTCCCATTCTTTTACATAGGCTTACGACAATCGTAGCCCTACGATCGCTTAGTAGAACGGGGCCCGGGTTCCTAAAACGTGGTCTCTCGTCTATGGCCAACGCTATCGCCTGTTCAATCAAGTCGTCCAAGTACTTATATATTTGAGTGCAAACTTCATTGTTTTCAAATCCAATCGGTTATCGCAGAGACTGAGATGCAGAGCTATTTAGACGTATCTTGTTACGGCGATGTGCAGTGTTTCTGGATACTGTGTAGTCTGTATGCCTCTGTAACTGTTAAGAGCGAAATGTAGCAGCAATAACATTCTTTACTTGTAATCTGTCATTTTGTTTGCCCTGAAAACAATAAGAACAGCAAGCTGATAGGACATGGCGTTCTCATCACAAGGTAGACAACTCGTGTTCCACACAGGTTGATGCAATAATCGATGGCAAGGGTGGAAACGAGGCTTGTGACACTCTAGCCTCGGAAGATGGACCTGTACCAACCCTTCGTGTTTGTCTGTTGTTAAACAACGCTCTCAGTAATATTCCAGCCAAGGCTTATTAATAAATGAGTCTGGACCAGACAATCAAGTGATTGATATGATGAGCAACAATGCATGCCATCCGGATAAGCTGACATGCCATCCACCAAATTGCCAAGCTTGATGGAACTGGGATTAATGTCTTTAGAATTATTACACTTGTAGAGTGACTTTTGCAGTTTAAAAGTTCTATCCCAATGAGATACCACAGTTTAAAATAGATACCCCACTCAGAAAAAGTATACTGACTCTTAATGCTGAGTCCCAAGGAGGGTAACAAGTACAATCTTTTCACGTCTTTTGGTAGGCTGCAGCAAGGGGACTAAACCACTGCACCATCCACTCTCCTGGCAGATGCTCTATCCACTGACTACAGTTGCAGTCTTGCTGAACTTGAGAACCTAATCCATTCGGTCGCCCAATACAACCTGCACAGGTTGCTGGGGACAAACACGGAAACTAGGGACGGTCGGGTAGCCTAGTGGTTAAAGCGTTCGCTCGTCAAGATGAAGACCCGGGTTTGATTCCCATTTCTGGTGTCCCCGCCATGATATTGCAGGAATATAGCTAAAAGCAGTGTAAAACCATATTCACTCACTCAACAGGGAAACAAGGTGCGGTTGAGTATCCTAGTTGTTAAACCGAACACCTGGGCTCGATGGGCCCGACATTGGTACAATGTGTAAAGCCCATTTCTGGTGTCCCCCGCCATGATATTGCAGGAATATTGCTAAAAGCGGCGTAAAACCACACTCACTCACTCTACCATGGAAGCAAGCATTGGTCCAGCAGTACCCCAAAGGAGAAATAAATTTGAACACAGAACACGAGGATGTAAAAAATAGACAACATTTATTCTCACAACAAATATAATGAGAATACATTTGCACCAACTTCGAACCATCCACATTCAGATACACCCAGCTGCTCCAGATTGTCCTGCCATCTTCTTGACATTGAACAAGAGGTTCAGTCTCACATGTGTATGTATAATGAAGTACCTAACCGTTAAGCATTGCTTACTGAATATCAAAAACCATTTCAATGGAAGAAGTTGCCCCAGGAAAGAATGTGAAATTTTAAGAGAGTTTCCAATATTGCAGCTCACCTTCACAAGGCTGATGAAAATGACCATGCACACTACAAGTGAACAGCTGTATTGATGATGTGCAGAGACATATTTGTGAAAGTGGTTAGCCACCCAAACCAGGGATAATATTTCGGACAAGTCAGTCCTCTTTGCACACAGGCACATGCGCCATTTAGACTCACAGCAACAATACAGTTATTGAAGACGGTATTCCAACTCCTTTTTATTATGCGTTCATGAAGTTGCAATAGTTTTCTAAAAGTTGTACTGCTATCTTTGGTATATATTTGGATTGTAAAGTAATTTTGTAATGGAGATTTGTTTTGTTTGTTTGTTGTTTAATGCCGCACTCAGCAATATTCAAGCTATATGACTGCGCTCTGTAACAAATTGAGTCTTGACCTGACAGTCCAGTGATTGTCATCATGAGCATTGATCCACGCAATTGGGACACAATGACATGCATCAACCAAGTCACAGAGCCTGACCACCCAATCCCGTCAGACGCCTCTTACGACAAGCAGAGTCGCCTTTTACGGCAATCATGGGTTGCTGAAGACCTATACTACCCCGGATCTTCACGTGTTTTGTAATGGAGAAATCATGAGAATCTGTTGATTTCGAAATTAGAATGATTGAGTTGATCCGACACTCGGAATGAACAAAATTCAAGTGATTTCTCCAACTTCAAACCCATTATGGTATACTTTCTCTATAATTTTGCACAATGGCCTATAGTACATTAGGTTTACTTGTTTAAAATGCATGTTCAGAATGGCCAGTGAATTACTGATCAGAATCAACTGCAAGAACAATAGTGTTGCCTCATTTTAATGGTTTAAAATTGGGAACTAAAGTCAGGTTGAAAGATTTACCCTTGGTCACAAACTGACAATAAAATAAACCAGCTAATACCATCTCATCTGACAAGTTTGTGAAGGAAAAAACACAAATCTCTCAAAAAGGGAGTTTAAAATTTCAGAACAGACAAATTTGGGAAATTGACTTTCAACAGTCATCAACATTATCAAACCATAAAAAAATTCAATTCAATTATGGAGTATATGCTCAAAACTATTGGTTGCCTGGAGTGACTAATCTACATCCCTGAGTTGCCTATAGTGGCCATGATCTCCCATAGTTTCCACAGTGAACAGTGAGGGAGTATAGCACAGCATGGCCAGCGTGACGTGGGAAGAAAGCCTGAAGTGATGCACTCGATCATTTTAGTGAACCACACAAGCACAGATATGATGCTTACAAACCTTGAAACATAATCAGGTGAATCAGAATTAGAAACCATGATCATGGGATTCTGGAACGCCCAAGGGAGGTAACTCTGCACATCAAATTGCGGTGCCTTAGACACACTGCAAGAAATACTAAGACAGACAACTCCGATATGTCTGATAATCACAGGAGCTAGAAGTTGCAATCCTTAATTCAGTCTGTCTCTTGAGGTGTTGAGAAAATATACCACCACAAACACAATGAGATGGTGGATTCTCACAAAGCCAAATTCTATTTTAGGAAAGCATTAGTTTGCTGTTTTAATGACAGTGAGCAAAAATGACATTGGACTCAAGGGCCAAGCTTTCAGGTCTACTGTAAATATTGGTAAAATTCACAACTGGAATTGAAAATGATTGAATGTTTGAAAAATATAACACCTAATGCTGGTGTTGTTTGATGAGATTCAACTCCTTATAATAACATAGAAGTCAACAGATCGATGTACATTGAATTTACATTCTCAGCTCCCTGGGGAGGATACCATCATGTGAAGAGACGAAACAGTTGTTACCAATTTGACCCCTCTCTCCCTAAATTCTCACTTCTGAATCCAAGTTTGTTCCAAGAAATCGATGGGGAACTTACAAGACTCACAGAACACAAACAATATCAACACGATCTATCACAACTACACAGATCACACAGTGTAAAACCAATATCGTGAAATGGAAGTGTAAAACATAGACAGCACAAGGACTGATGAGCGAAGGGACCATTTGATGTTGTACACATTAGTACCTGTTATATTCAATGATAGAAAGGCAAGTTTTTTGGCAGTAGGCAAGTTCAGGTGAGCTAACAAAACATTCTCATCGTCACTTTAAAAATGCTATGTGGAGTTTTCGTTTCGATAAAATATCTGGCTTCAATATTATTTCTGTAAATGCTGACCAGCTTTTATCTTACGAATTCCTTACCCTACACTGACAAGTTAATTACTACTAACTAAACAAAATAATTAATTTGGAAGCAACCTGATAAATTTGGAGCTAGAAATGTTGGAAAGGTGTCAGCTGACTGTAGGCGGAATGATTAAAGTGATGCAGGTGATGACGTTTACCATGTTGGTAAAACCCATGATAACGGGTATGGTGCTGACAAACCTAGAAACATAATCGGGGCGAACCGAGATTCGACCTCATGATTACAGGTTCCTGGTGTGCCTAAAGGACAACTCTGCCGAGGGCATTGTGGCGCCATAGAGGACTGAGCCACCCGTGCCCCTATTTCTTAACAGAATGTTGAAAACGTAAAAGCTCTCAGTGGACGGTATCACACCTGGACAAAATAAAAACAAACTTGGAAAAAACTTTTGCAAGATGAAAGGAAAATCGTTGATCTCTCTCCAACAAAACAGGAGATGAATTGATTCATGGAGGGATACAATATCAAATGATGAGGAATAATGGGTAAAATATTATGAGTCTGCAGTAAAACAAAAGGTAAAACTACAGGATTATATATGGTCAGGATTATTAAAGATTTGTCAATGTATCTGTAGGTCAAAACTTTTGAATTTAAAAAATTTATTCCACCTACCAGAAGTAAAATGTTAATAACGCAACTCTTTTACTGTCGCTATCAATAAAAATGAATTACTTAAAATATAACAATTAAAACCTGTTGAAAATTTATCTGAAAAACAACTTAACATTTTGAGGAAATAAAAAAATATATTTGAAATGTGAATTATTTTTCGACCTACGGAAACCCCAGAAATAATAGACCAATAAGTCTGTCCCATAGAGCATTTGGATAAAAGGTCACCCAATAAATAGTAAAGTTGAAACACTGGGCCGGAAATGGGCTTCACACATTCGAATCCAACCAGGCCTTAAAAAACACCAATGAGGCACATTACGAAAGTTTTGAGAGAAGCCCAAAAGAAAATTACTTGTGTACTCATGCATAAAACACCAACACCCTCACAAAAGATGTATCACATATACAAAAACCACTGGAGTAGGTGAGTTGGGTTTAACGCCGCTTTGAACAGTATTCCAGTTATTTCACGGCGTGTGATCTTGATGTGAGGGGAAAGCCCGAATTGATCCAAATCTCAGACGTTTACCACTTTGGTGAAACCCACGAGCATGGATATAAATAGCAGAGGAACTTGTGCGGAACATTGGTGAAAGGTAAAGGCAACCGTCTAAGTGCTAAGATTTCTTTGTGGAAGGGGCCCTGGTAGGATGGTTTGCTATGTTATCATGGTAGTCAACTGATAATGGATTGAAATGGCGCATATATATCATATGTAAATGTTTCTTGTTCTTTGTTAAACTCTTATGACACATCAAGTCCAGTAAACAAAGTACCTGTCATAAGTGATTCAAGGGAGGACAATTCTCTATTTTTTAGGTGTGATACGTGTGAATTATGTGGTTTACATCACTTCCTGTTTGGGATTATGCATAATCAGTATGTTTACGACCTAGTTTGGGTCAAGGGACTTCACCTAAACAAATAATATTTTTTGCAATCCATTTTGAATAGAGGTAGGGGTAATTCCACTTCAAAAACATTCCAGAAACTAACATAAAAAGTAAACCTGTATACTTACGAGCTGTGACATAGGCCTACCGCAAAGAGTCCTATATTCGATCAAGTGATGAAATATTGTGCTGAGATTTGCATAAGTAAATAGTCGCCAGGGGATGTGGATTACGAGATTTACTGATACCGCGATAATATAGTCATACAATACTGGACAATGACTGTGTGAGTGTGTTAGTCAGGTTTAAAGCAAGTTGGAACCACGCCACGCTCAGCAATATCCCAATAGAAGTACGGTGCTGAAAAACCAACACGTCAGGCTGAAACTGAGATTCGAACCCACAATCACATAACCAAGGGACATAACTCTATGCAACGAACTGCAGACCCACTGACGACACGGCCAGCCCTGCCCGCTATTGTTGAGAACAGGATGATAAACCATAGGACACAGACCATCTCACCATGCAACAGAGTTACGAAACACGCAGGACACATAATGACCAATAAGTCTCAATCAATGTTTGCTATGTTAAGTAGAATAGATACTGCTGTGGGGGGACAACAGACATCACTGAAGACAGACATACGATATGCAGGACTTCCATTAGCACTTTGAACCAAGCAAGGAATTCACAACACTCATATTGGTCACAATAATACTTTGTTTTGGACAACTCGTCTGACCCGAAAAATATCTCCGACTCAATTTTTGTTGTTGCCAGTATCAGAACCTCTTTATTTCTTATCCATAGGTCACGTCAAAGCAACGACAGCCGGTAGTGTAAAGACCCAATTTACAAAAACAGCTTGATAATCAGTGAGCCATGGGCGTGTCTTATGCACCCAAACAAGATGGTTAATCTGTGAAATTAACAATTGTTAGCAATAGAACGCTTAGTGTCTCAATTTGTTCGTCTTGCTTATTGACGCAGCACATGGACAGAAAGTCGGAAGTGTGGTCAAACACCGCTGTGTCGAACTTACGGTTGTCCCGAAATAAAAGCTTGGTCCCTGCATATACCTTCATTCTGCATTATTTAACCTTAAATTGTGTTGAATCGGATGTTTTGAAGTTACAGTTGTCTCCAATTGTCTTTCGAGTCCTAAACATTTAGTTCCCGCACCAATTTACCCTGTTAAGTCAATATTTATTTCATTTTATCGTTAGTTGTTGTCACATGAGTTTTGTCATTCTTCGTGCCAATCGGTAAATGAATGCCGAGTTTATTTTTCGATTGTGTCAAACTTCGGACAACTTGAAGTATATATGTAGGTCCCTTCAACATCGACACAACAGTGTTTGACTTGAATTCAGAGACACCAGCCATTACGATTTGGTGTAATTCGAAAGATGTTGAACCTAAAATTCAAGTATTGGGTTGTCCGACATATTCTTTAAAGTACATTCATGAGATCACTACATGAACAACTGAGAGAAAGGTTTGTCTCAGCTTTGGTTATAGAGTCAGTCTCCAATTCTGGATTAGCTGACAAGTGCTGCTTGCCGATTTCTTAAAACTGTCTCCTATTTTTCACTCTACATAATATTTTGTCTTGGTTCGTGAACATACTCAATTTTTCCTCGTCAACAGAAATCTCAAACAAGACTGCTGATATGTTGATACTGTAAAATGGTCATAATTCCAAAATTAGATTGCAAGCAGAAAATCTAAAATCATGTTTCAAAACAAAAATTTGATCCAAAAACTGTACAAAAAAGTAAAATCCACAAATCTACAAAACAAATTCATAGCGACAATCCAATAGCTGTCATTTTCAACAATCAAAAAAATGTTTGCAACGGATATTTTCAACAAATGCACACATTGGCATCTCACATTCTATTTTTGGGAGCTGCCAACATCTGCTGTATCCATTACATCAGTTTCCGCTGTTTTCCAAAGTCGCGGAATATTTTTCAGAAATGTGAAGAAATGTACCTACCCCGGTATTTAGAAGAAAATCACACTTTGTGCAGAGCCTGTGCAGAAATTTGCATTTATCTGCCGCAGACTTCATCAAATACACTGCAGAATTCTAACATGTGAGTCGAAAGTTGTAAACATGTGAACACATACTCATTTCGTTTTGAGGTTGACTTTTAAATTATTGCTTGCCAAAAGAGCATGTCTGTATGTTTACAATAGTGATCTTCAGATTCACTTCAATAAGCTATTCAAGTTGTGAATAAGTTTATCACAAAAACGCCTGCCATTAGTCAAACGTGCAAAACTACAAAATTCACAAAAAAAATCCATAGAAATTGGCAGAACTGTGTGGAGAATTATCATAATTTGGTTGCAGAATTTACAAAAACTGACTGCAGAACAAAACAAATAATCTCAAAATATTAGGCATCAACTGTATGAAAACATAAGGTACTTTTTTAACTTAAAAAAAATAACAGAAATTTAAAAATCAAATGCAAAATTATATTTAAAAGACTGGAACCAGTAAGATCCGATTACACCAGCCTACAGCATGAAATCGACAGAAGTCTACAACTGAAAATTACAATATAACCTCTAAATATTTGTTTACCAGTCTGACAAACCGTCAACAAGGCTAACATATTAGAAAGCCCTAGCTAATGGGTTGCATTCTGTGACCAGTATTTGAGTTCCCCTCGATTATCTAGTGTTTCATATGTCCATGTTATTATGACCAATAGCCTAGACCCATCTGCCACCATACCTTCTTTTTGGAAATGACCTATCACCTTATCACAAGCATAGCACAGAATTGACATCACCCATGAGCTAAATCAACAACCAATCAAAACACCTATTCTGAATGGGTGTTCAGCATAGATCTAAATCTTAAGTCACAGCCACGTGCCTCAATATATCTAACAAATCACAAGCCTTTAACAAATAACGGTATAGCTCAGTGAGTATTATGACGAGGAGGGAATTATTTATGCACATCATGCAGAAGTACTGGTGATATAAATGGCTGCTTGTTTAAATCATGAACGAAACAGTATAATTTGACTGTACGTCTATTTTAAGAATCTTGTCATTAAAACAAGCCTCAAAACGAATCTAAGGTGGCTTGGGTCGAGGTCCATAACATAACAGAATGGAGATATGATACATTGGATATATAATCACAGCTTGTCAGCTTCAGCTAGTCAAGCCAACAGTAACGCTGAGTGTAGAGTTCTTTCCCTACTCTATCTCTCCAGGGTTTGAAAATCCATCAACCTACACGAACCTAACTCCCGAATCAATTCCTGTGCTTTTCACAATCTCAAATTATCCACCCTTGATTTTCATTAACATTTTACTGCCCATCAAATGTCAAGATTAGGAATAAGGAATAGGTAGCAGAGGTAGACCCAAAGACATCCCTTCAATCAAAAAAATTGGGGGGCTTTCTTCTGCAGGTCAGTCAGCTTTTCAATGTTGACTTTCTCGCATACTCTATCGTAATTAAAGGGACTGGCCTCCATTTAGTTGAATTCTCCAACCCAACAGTGAGGCTTGTTTGTAACCTGCATTCTGATTGGTCCGTTAAGACTGACAGGGTAGCAATTCAAAATAGGCTGATGGAAATCAAGGGCAGGTAATTCAGATTGTGAGAGCTCTGGAGATAAAGAGGAAGTGTTCCTTTGATAAATCATGGATATGGCGCAACCAAATTTAACATAATAATCAGGATGAATCTGGGATTCAAGCTGACAATTAGAGGATCCTAACACTAACAAGGGACACAACTTTGCACATCGAACTACCTTGCATTCGACAACAAGGCTATACATAAAATATGATAGTTCCTGAAATTTCAATTCAATACCCATCATACTTAATGGTTGGTGCAGCTACCAAAGTCAGATTGTTTCCACTTTATAAGGCACCAAACTCTCAAAAAGAATTCTTAAAAAAACAGAAAACAGTATTGCACAGCCAGGGTGCAGTTATGTTGTCATGGGCATCAAGTAGTAGGTGTTAAATATAAATACACAATGTTTTCCAGGCCTAAAAAAGTCCTTTCCAACCAACAGACATTCCACTTGAATGATATAGACAAAAGTAGCATAGCTGATTTAGACACTCTTATCCATACCACTCTTGACCTTTTGGCAACTTCAATACGAAGGATTTATCTAGGTTTTCAAACAAAAGCCAAATTGTGAAAAATATTTTCTTAAATTTTGGAATTCTTTTTATGTTTTTTATATGTTGCATAGATAAGGCCAAACAGTAGGGTTTTCTTGTGTTTAATTGACCACTAGCAAGTCTTTGACCCGAACGGACATTTATTACGATATGTAAAGAAAGAGAAAAAATCATTTTGGATCATTGATTTGATCATTCTTAGATTTTTTCAGTTAATTTAACAATACTTATATATTTGATCATATCAGGACTCTGTTCCACAAAGCAACCCTAGTGCAAAAATCACTGTAATGCCCATTCCTTTCTAAACACGATTCCTTAGAATCGGCATAGAGCTGCTATCCCTTTGTGGCCCCAGAAGTCCAAAACTTTCAAGTGCATGAAAGAAATATATATAGTTGTTGAGAAATTTTATACCAATATTTCAAAGTTTTTCGAAATTTCAAAATTCAAAAATTTCTGTGAGCCAAAAATTACCCTTTTCAAAACACTGGGTATTGGAGCAGGTTATGTATTACATGAAAAATGGTACTACCATTAATTTTAGGAGAATGAAACTTCTCATGGAACAAATATCCAACTAGTTAGATCTTTCATCATGAACTTGTGATAACATCACCATTCTCTTGTCAGTACATTTATTACCGTTGACAAGTAACGATTCTCAAGTGATAAATGTAACATACAAACAGTCTGGAAACAGCTACATACAGAAACAGTCATAGTCTCCAGATGAGACAACATACAAAACCCACATTTGCTCACATGAATATTGTAGCTATAACGTCAAGATCATAAGGGAGGCAACTCCCATCTAGATATGTCACAAGGGAGACAACTCCCAAACCAGGTGAGTAACAAGGGAGACAACTCCCAAACCAGATGTCAAGCTCCTCACAGCGATAGCCCGTTCGCTGAGCTCCCTATACTATCGCTGCCACCAGTCAAAGCTCCCAACTGTGACAGTTGACCACAACCATGCTTGGAGTTGGACTGACCGTTATGTTTACAAATAAGCGACGCCGATTACTTTTACCACAGCTAAAATGTTTTCTTTGTTTGTCATTTTGAATTTCTATTTCATTTCAACTATCATGTAAATGGTATAGTAGGAACATAAGGAGGGGGTTGGGTGATTTTCCGTTAGTCTGGAATCTCAATCCAATCTGATCAAACAAACAAATAGGTAAGTTCATCTGGGAAATATGGTCAGTCGTAAACCTTTTCAAAATTCACTATGATGGCATTCCCAAAGACATAAACAAAAGCATAAACGTTACTACATTTGGGGTTGGAGGGTAAATTTCAAGATTCTTGTAATGTCCACACCAACACTGGTGGCAGCGATGTTACCGAGAGTGTACCCAAGATGTCACACGCGGGGAAGAGCTTGACCAGATGTGTCGCAAGGGAGACATCTCTTAAATAAGATGTTAATTTGTCCCTAATTATCATAATTTTAATACTTACTCTTGAACACAATATTAATTCATCATCTTACACAGATGAGCATTGGCCAAACTTCGTCTACTTAAAAATATATTTTACAATATTAATGTTCAAATTCTTGTTCAAACTTCTACTTCAAGGGTCAACCATGAACCCTGAGTAAAAGAGTTCATATTTGGCCTCCAGGCTCTTTGCACATTAGCCATAAATATCTGTCAAACAGAAAGATAAGTAGTTCTGGTTCCATCATGGGTTCTATTGTATATTAATGCTATTTCTCACAAAATGGTTTATATTTCTTTTACCCATTTGAAAATGACAGACTATATGTCTGTATTGTGACCAGCGTCATGATGTTTACCAAATGTATAAATTTCTCCATCCAGTAAGAGTTCCATGGGTGTTGAGTGTTGAGACAATGAGTTCTATGGTTCTCACAAAACATCCACTCTCACAGCTCATCATCATCAGTTTGTTTCCATGGTGACCTGATACTGCTGACATTCCTGATATTTATTCGCTTCCTGAACACATGACATCCATTCTTTGTCCGGTAGTTTCACATCTTTCACAGAACTGTGGAAGAAAAAATAACATTTCATTAAAAAACATTCTTTGTCAAAAGGAAACATGCACCAATGCAAGCTGTTATTGCAGAATGTAATCTAATATTTATGTCTACATGCACCAAGTGCATGTAAAAAAACTCCCTGTATGTCAGCTTTGGATATAACAGTATTGACACGAAGTTCTGATAATGTACTGTACAGTAGCCTAATCTATCACTGAAGGTGAACACTGTGTTTAGTTATGATAGTTAGATTATCCAACTAAAAATAATCATTACGCATTACCATATATCACCATCCCCACGTATAAGGCGACCCCCCTGTACAAGCCTTCAAAATTGATGCTAATTTATATACTCCGTCTATAAAGCGAATCGGAATGAAGCACGTCACCAGCGCACACAAAGTCCTTACATTTGCAATAAAATCGTGTTTGACTTCCGCAGAAACAGAAGCGAATTCAGGGAAACAAAAAGATCTTAACAATTAAACTTGGCCAAGACAAATTTGAAATTTGAGATAAAAAAAACCCACTAGACATGAGGATTTACCGATGAAATTGTATTTCTTGTTCTGATAGGCATTGTTTTATATGACAGTTCCCATTGATGACACTGCCACATAAGTACTATAACAAGTACTAACAGTATTAAAAATCATGACATCGTCAGAGATCTAAGATATACATTTCGCCACTTTTAAGCACCTGTGTTTAAACTTTGAAAGATTTATTGGACCATGGTTACAATGGGGTCTTATCTGGTGCAACTAGGTTTTTATGTCAACATGCACCTGATGAAAGTTAAACCAAGTTACGTAAATCAAGCCCCGTGAAGATTCTGGGATAGGATAGAATAGGTCTTCAGCAACCCATGCTTGCCGTAATAGGTGACCATGCTTGTCGTAAAAGGCGACTAACGGGATCGGGTGGTCAGGCTCGCTGACTTGGTTGATGCATGTCATCGATCCCAATTGCGTGGGTCGATGCTCATAATATTAATCACTGGATAGTCTGGTCCAGACTCGATTATTTACAGACCGCCGTCATATAGCTGGAATATTGCTGAGTGCGGCCTTAAACAACAAACCAAAAAATCAAGCCCCGTAAAAGAGACAACTCCCAAATTGTCAAGCGGCTCGCAGCGATAGCCCATATACAGAGCTATGTATACTATTGCTGCCACCATTCACAACTTCCCACTGTGCTGGCACATATAATAATTCATGGAGATAATCAAGCACAGTTCAACTAGAAAGTTAACAAACAAGAGATTTGGGGTTTGAGCTAAGATTTTCAACATCCGCATTCGCAGTGCTTATCTTGGGACGGAGACGATCTTTTCATGTGTTGGGAATATTAATATACAAATGTATCCTTCATAGACTTCTTCAAAATTTGCTACAACTTATTCTTGAGCACACAATTAACTCAATTTAGTGATTAATTCAGAAGATGACAACTCCCCTTCCCCCCCAAAAAAACAAACACTCACACAAATTCGAAAGAATAATTCATGTGATTGTTATAGGAAGTCACACAAGAGTGATAGAGTTCAACTTGATGAGAATATTCCTATCTAATGTCTTTCCGTCTACAAGAGTACTTACTGAGCTATCAAAACAATACCATGGAATTGGGATTTGGAACTTTGAATTTGTATGTCGGGTCTTCATTGCAAAGATAATAGTAAGAAGATGTCACACAATTGGTACATGGCTCAAGTTGCTGTCAGTCGCATTACCAACTGAAGCTAGCAATAGTTACTGAAGCTCACCTTTCACATCAAACTTATATATATCTTCTATATTGTAGCATTATAGATATTTTGATATCTCAGCGATTTTCCACATCACATCTTTTTCAGGACATATTGGCATTGTAAAAGCTCATTGATTAGTATAAACAAGTGTATACAAAGGAAAGTCATCTATATCCCCCGCCAATTTTAACACATTATGGTCCCAAACCAGGTAACTGACCCAACATTTCTTTCTCTTAGCCCATGTCAAAAGAGCTGCAATGGAAATACTAAAATAAACATTTCTAAAACTCCTTAATAGCAAATGGCACCAGTTAAGTATGTGCTTTATACATAGACATGCAATATTTGGCAAGGAAATATTTTTGGAAATAATGCCAGGTAGTACAAATTTCTAAAATTCATAAATAGCAAAAAGCAACAATTCAGCATTTGTCTGATAGATGTGGAAAACTCTACCCTTATGTTTTTTAAGTCCAACTTGTTGCCATGGAAACGCAAAAAATAACAATTCTGAAAGTGCTAAATATCGAAAGGTACCAGTTCACTATGTGCCTGGTAGACATGCAAAGTTTTGTAAGAAAGTATTTAACGTTTTTTGAGTTACGCTCTGGAAACCAACACCACCCATATAGAACCTAAGCCCATCGTTAATAATAAAAATTTCTAAAATTCCTAAATAGCAAAAGGCACCAGTTCAGCATGAGTCTGATAGACATGCAAAGTTTCATAGAGAAATATTTAACTGTTTCTGAGTTATGCTCTGGAAACGATTTCGGGACGCACACAAACACACACTCACACACACAGACGGACGGACGGAACCCATTTCTATATCCCCCGCCAACTTCGTTGGGGCGGGGAATAATCATATAGTCAGCCTGTCTAGATCAACTCCTGACACTTTATGCCCCCCAACTTGTCGAAACTTTGCACTGCACCTCTCCTATTGGTGCAGAAACTGTACCCCCAATTGGAAAAGAATCCTTGAAGTGTTCTTCTAGTTATACGTCACACAATTGTTTAAGTAAAAAATACTAAGTAAAATAATTCAAAAAGCAGTATTTATTCCTGAAAATCCATATATTGAAATCAAACTTCGCACTGCACCTGTCTTATAGGTGTAAAAAGTGTTCACCAAGTTTAAAAAGAATCTATTTAGTAGTTTTCAATTTATAGATCGCACACACAAAATGTCCTCGGAAGGACGGACAAACGGAATTCCTTGGTATAACTATATACCACCGCCCGCACTTTTAGCTCGGGGGTCTCATATATGATTACCAAAGAATATGCTAGAATAAACAACATAAATACCAGTGAAACAAACATGATGAGAACACTCAATAGCAAGCGCTTGAGTGCCAACACAGCGACAATATAGTAAGCACAGGCACTGCCAGTCACTTGGTACAGTGATCTTGTGATCACGATGTGACAGCGGAAATCATATTGAACGTGAAGAGAGAAATGTGATTGTGAATAATAAGCCACGGGAAAAGCTTGCCTTTCTTGTGTGTGTCAACATGAATACATGTGTAGGAATGCCTCCCTTCTCCCATGCTGCCTCCTTTCCCACATGCTTCCCTCCCTTTTTCTCCCATCCTCCCTGCTCACAGGCTCCCTCCCTTCTCACAGGCTGCCTCCCTGCTCACAGGCTCCCTCCCTTCTCCCTTCTCACATGCTCCCTCCCTGCTCACAGGCTCCCTCCCTTCTCACACGTTGCCTCCCTTCTCACATGCTGCCTCCCTTCTCACACGTTGCCTCCCTTCTCACACGTTGCCTCCCTTCTCACATGCTGCCTCCCTTCTCACAGGCTCCCTCCCTGCTCACAGGCTCCCTCCCTGCTCACAGGCTCCCTCCCTTCTCACACGTTGCCTCCCTTCTCACAGGCTCCCTCCCTTCTCACAGGCTCCCTCCCTTCTCACACGTTGCCTCCCTTCTCACACGTTGCCTCCCTTCTCACAGGCTCCCTCCCTTCTCACACATTGCCTCCCTTCTCACATGCTTCCCTCCCTTTTTCTCCCATCCTCCCTGCTCACAGGCTCCCTCCCTTCTCACATGCTTCCCTCCCTTTTTCTCCCATCCTCCCTGCTCACAGGCTCCCTCCCTTCTCACAGGCTCCCTCCCTTCTCCCTGCTCACAGGCTCCCTCCCTTCTCACAGGCTCTCTCCCTTCTCCCTGCTCACAGGCTCCCTCCCTTCTCACAGGCTCCCTCCCTTCTCCCTGCTCACAGGCTCCCTCCCTTCTCACACGTTGCCTCCCTTCTCACACGTTGCCTCCCTTCTCACACGTTGCCTCCCTTCTCACATGTTGCCTCCCTTCTCGCATGCTCCCTCCCTTCTCACACGTTGCCTCCCTGCTCACACGTTGCCTCCCTTCTCACACTTTGCCTCCCTTCTCACATGTTGCCTCCCTTCTCGCATGCTCCCTCCCTTCTCACAGGCTCCCTCCCTTCTCACACGTTGCCTCCCTTCTCACACGTTGCCTCCCTTCTCACACTTTGCCTCCCTTCTCACACGTTGCCTCCCTTCTCGCATGCTCCCTCCCTTCTCAGATGTTGCCTCCCTTCTCACATGCTGCCTCCCTTCTCACATGTTGCCTCCCTTCTCGCATGCTCCCTCCCTTCTCACAGGCTCCCTCCCTTCTTACACGTTGCCTCCCTTCTCACACGTTGCCTCCCTTCTCACATGTTGCCTCCCTTCTCGCATGCTCCCTCCCTTCTCACAGGCTCCCTCCCTTCTCACACGTTGCCTCCCTTCTCACACGTTGCCTCCCTTCTCACACTTTGCCTCCCTTCTCACACGTTGCCTCCCTTCTCGCACGCTCCCTCCCTTCTCAGATGTTGCCTCCCTTCTCACATGCTGCCTCCCTTCTCACATGCTGCCTCCCTTCTCACATGCTGCCTCCCTTCTCGCATGCTGCCTCCCTTCTCACATGCTCCCTCCCTTCTCCCTTCTCACATGCTGCCTCCCTTCTCGCATGCTGCCTCCCTTCTCACATGCTGCCTCCCTTCTCACATGCTCCCTCCCTTCTCCCTTCTCACAGGCTCCCTCCCTTCTCGCATGCTGCCTCCCTTCTCGCATGCTGCCTCCCTTCTCACATGCTGCCTCCCTTCTCACATGCTCCCTCCCTTCTCGCATGCTGCCTCCCTTCTCACATCAGTGTGCTGCCATCAATACCCCATATCCCTGACTAAACATCAAGCAAGCTTTGTATCTTAAAGCAGCTGAACCCTATATATATATATATGTATATATCTGTTCAGGGTTTTCAGGAAGCAAAGAATTGAAGCAAGCTTCCTCTCAGCAGAGAAAAGCACACAGAAAACATTAATCTTTGTTAAGCCAGGTTATGGGGTGTAACAAAATTTAGTACCTGAATTATTATATTTATTCTGAAATAAATACATCACAGTATAAGAACAGTGTAGAAATTTCTCAGATCATGAATTGTAGTTAGTAAGTAAGTGGCTCATGAAGGCTGTGAATGGTGAGTTGCTGCAAGGCATTCAGTCCTGGGGCACACACAATAATTGTCAGCCATTCATTTTGGGCAAAATGGTACAGTTGCTTAAGGATAATCCTCAAACGTGACTAATCCTGTCACTATCTTACAGCAGAAATCTATGGCAGTCATGTTCAGGACTTAGCATGGCAGTCATGGCCAGTACAAAGCATCACTACCCCCATCTAAGGTCATCACCTCCACTGGAATAGATACCCACAGTCGGCAATGTTCCAGGAATACCACAGCAATCTGATCAAAATTGCTAAAGTGATTGAGTTGGGTTAACGCTGCTTTGAACAGTATTCCAGTCGTATCACAGCATGTCAGCTTGATCATGCTGATATGGGATGAAAGTGATGCAGATCTCGGATGTTAACATTTGGTGAAACCTAGGCATATGGTGCTGACACACCATTGAGAAACATATTTGGGCAAACCGTGACTCGAACCCACGAACAGAGGTTGCTGACGTGCCCAAGGGACGCAACTCTGCACAGCGAATTACGGCCCCTTAAACAATGGGGCTACCCTGGGGAAGACTGCAAATATTTATGTCAATATCACTGGGATTTTGATCCAAAATACAAGGTTCCTTTAGATAAAATTATGTTTCTGGTCGGAGTGTCATGACAAGCATACCAGAGCATACCAGAGCTCTAGATAAGCTATTGGTTATTTAAGTATTTTACACATGGTTTGGATTTCTATTTGGTATCCTTGATTTGTCGTGGGGATTTTAACTTGAAAACCGGTTTTGTAACAGCCTTGTAAATCATTTAAGTATACTAATAGTAGTATACACATGTCTTACCGGATGCAACTGTTTGTGAATGATACTCAATCGTTCTATCGAACATTTGCAACATATGCAATGATTTTATTTCATTGGCGTTTTATAGCTTTTGTTGCATATTTGATATGCTAGAGATTTGTCTGCGTATTTCAGTTCATTTAATGCATATTTTATGCAAACGATCTTATCTACAGCTCTGAGCATGGTACATGATACAGACATGAGATGTCTTTAGCACCATATTTTATGGATATTTTCATATTCCATTTGGCCCTGCTGACAAAGGTGGTTGCTAGGAATCCAGTTTATACTTCCCCACATTTCTGGTTAATCTAGACTTATTCTAATCCTATTAAGCAATCTTATTTTTTACATTTGGAGACAGAATGTTACCTTCAGCCAGCAAGGTAAGGCTAGCCAGGGTAGTTATTACGCCTGTTAATTTTAAAACATACCAAATTTTCATAGCGTTATCTGGACTTGCTTAGAGTTCACAGCAAGTGACAGTAAAAAGTTCCAATTTGAATCAACAATTTCTAATTTCTTCAGAATTTACAAAAATATTAAGTTAGGAAATCCAATTTTGAAAAAAAAAAATCAATTTTTTCCCAAATTGCCTGCCAAGGGGACTTAGTTTGAACTAAGATATATCACTGAATGTTACTTTCGGAAACTTCATACCGAGCTAAAAAGCATGCATCTATGCAAAGGCCGGTATATTGTGTACCTCAACATAAGGCAAAAATGTCATGCACTGATCAATGAATGTTTACTGCAACTGTTTTTTGAGACGGTGATAAGCAAGAATGTAAAATAATATAAGAAATGATTGACTGAACACATAACTAATAAGCTGAAAGTCACGTAATAAATAAAGTGAAAAACGTAAGCTGCAAAAAAAGACGAAGATAATATGCCACAATGAATGATGCAGAGTATGAGGCTGTACCTTGATTCTTTGGCTTCATACTCTGGGAACTCGCTTTCTTTAGTCGTTTCCATAGACAACTTGACTGCTAATTCCTCCACCCGATCCACCTCTCTAATTTCTGTAAAGCAATCAAGAAATTTGGCAACAGTTTCTTAATTGGGTTTTAAGATTCAACCGAATAGTAAAAAAACACAAAAATATTATAAAAATTGGTTTGAACCTTATTCAATTTCCCCTGTCACTCGCTCTTGTGTGGGGTAAAAGGAAAAAGCTAAAGCTAAATAAATTTATCAAAAAGTAACAATTAATTAGATATAAAACGATCTGGTCATGCATGCACTGAAGTTTACTGCATGAAGTTTTATCTTTTTTTCAAACATATGCAAGTCTGAAGGAATGGGTGCATAGTCAGAAAAAATGGGAACATTAGGTACTCGTAGTGTAACCATAGAGTTTTAGATAATTTTTGTCACTAAAAAATATATCACAAGACAAACCACGGGTAGTCCTGTGAGTACCCAGGTCCTACTCAGTACCCACCCTCCCCGAGTAACCCGTCCCAGCCCTAATGACAAGTAACTAACTGTAATCAACAATGGTAGAAATGAAAAGAAATATCTATAAAAAGCCCAGATGAAATTATCTTTTTAAAAATGTAATGCTAAAAGATATTTCCTGAACTTATTGAAACTCTAAATCACAGAAATTAGGCAAAAGGATCATCAGGGAAACAGCCTTCCAATAATATATATTCTATTCTAAATTATGAAATTTGGGATCTCTAAATATGTTATATGATTTTAAAAAAGGCCCAAAATCTGTGAATGGTCTTCATACTTCTTTTATGAAGAAAGAGAGAAGCTTTGTACATACCATTAGGAACAGGTCCCAACGTCTTCATTTTCTGTATCAAGTCTGACGTCGTCCAATCATATGGCACTCTTGGGAAAACAAATTGTTCATTACTTGAGCCCACCTTTAAGTCCAGGGTGTTTAATAAGGCAAAGAAGTAGACATTATGACATATTTTTTCGTGGTCCTCTGTGACAAAGATGAGGGGAATATCCTTCTTCATAACTGAAATAATACAGAAAAATGAATTAACCACACAAACATGGTTTTCACATTATCATATGAACACCTGGCAATATATGTATACTCCTCAGGGAGTTGAGAATAAAATTCGAGTGCACACTGATCCAGTGACTGGGGTATTAATGTAGCGCCTTCACCTTGCTTTAGGGTGTGGATCTGGCGCATTATAAAAATGAACATTACAATTACTTTTGTGTGAGGACACATGGCTTAATGTGGGGTGAAGTGGGGTTTAACATTGTGTTCAAGATTAAAGCACTTACAGAGAAGTGTGTGTGTGTTTGTACTGGTGCAGACTAGTGCCGGTTTTGTAACGCTAGCCCACTGAGATACCATACCTCAGTTTAACATGGACACCCATCAAGACACAGACCACTGTCGTCAAGCTAACCAGTCCTGTAATCCCCTTAATGCTGAGCACCAGGCAGGGTAACAACAAGTACCATTTTTTGGTACGACACAGCGGGGGTTCGAACCTGGGATTGTCGTAAGTTATCAATGGGAAATGTGTGAGGTGATTTGGACGTTATCTTCACGTGTTGCTATTTGTGTGTGGAGACGACATGTCAGGACTTACATGAACATATTCGAGTGACCGGTTCCCGTATCGTGTCTGTCGAGTTTCCCATCACACCTGTAAGCAGGGGCATATCACGTAAGTATTGCACACCAATCAATGTTTTTTACATGTATATTACACTTGAAGCACGGATTCAGTTTTTGTTTTGTTTGTTTGTTTTTTAACGCCGCACTCAGCAATATTCCAATTATATGACGGCAGTCTGCAAATAATCGAGTCTGGACCAGACAATCCAGTGACTGATATCATGAGCATCGATCCACACAATTGGGATATGATGTTTGGACAACAATAGGGGTTGGACATCAACACAGGCTTGTGAAACTTACAGTTTTTAGCATTGGCAGCCTCAAACAGGTTTTCTTGCAGCCATGTGAGATGTTGTTGGTGGCCATTACTCTTCAGTCGTAAGACAAGGTGATCGATGAGATCTTCTTCCGGTACCTGGGAGAGCTCATCAATAATCTTCATTTTCACATCTTCCTCCAGTGTGTTCTGCAACACAATAAGATCATTTTCATACACAATCAGATCATTGTCATACAAAATCAGATCATTTTCATACACAATCAGATCATTGTCATACACAATCAGATCATTGTCATACAGAATCAGATCATTGTCATACACAATCAGATCATTTTCATACACAATCAGATCATTGTCATACACAATCAGATCATTGTTATAGACATCCAGGTCATTGTCATACACAATCACAGCTCTGTCATACACAATCACAGCTCTGTCATACACAATCAGTTCACTGAGCCTGAATAGCAACTGTGACATAGCACGTAGACCCTGTGTCCTACCTCTTTCCCTGAGTAGGCCACTGTCTCCATCGAGGTATCTTCCTGCAGCCAACCACTGTCCTTGATGAACTCTTCGATCTGCAACAAGTACACCGATGGTCACTAACACAGCCAAGTGTCACTGGACAACAACACTGTTAAATCCCTCCAGAGCTAAATCTTCTTCAACATAACATTTCACTCCCCATCAGTAGTGAAAGGAACTCTAGCATATCAGTAGAATTCTTGTTAATCAAGGAATGCGTGCAACATGTCTCAGCCTTGGCCCCATGATAGGGACTATCTTTTGCAATGGTATTGCTATAATATCAAACCAACTTCAAGGCAAAATAATGATATCAATCAATGTAATAGAAATGAATATAGTATTGCCAACAATAAAGACAGCCCTTTTCCTCCCTGACACTACTCAAACCAAAGGGAAGTAACTCTAAAATGAAGTTGTCATAATCCTTGCAATGAACAAATGACAATGTTTGAACTGAGTTTTCTGATGAATAATTTGTTAAGTTTATAACATGCAACGACTGAAACACAATCGATTGTCATGCAGACTATTGAAAATAGTTTGGGCATTTTTAAATTCCTATCGAAATAGTATATACAATTGTAGGGCAAAGAAATGCAATACATCCATCGATACAATAAAACTCCTCGTCTCCCGGATTTGAAAATTGACTGACCCAGGCAAATGTCTACTCTTAACATAATGATAATATAGATATGTGACAAGGTTCAAGGGTATTCTGCCCCGAATCCCAACTGGTAAAACCTGAGAGAGAATACACAACTCACTTCCTGCTCCGTTCGTTCAAAGCCTGTGTGACTCAGAGCGTATTTCAGATCTGCAATGATGTTGTCGCTCTCAGTGAGACTGAGAATACTCGACATAAGCACTTCCTCTTCCACCGATGACCAGTTACATTTCGGCTTGACAGTCCTGTTTGAAAGAGAATAATCTTATCAGGGACGTCATGATTCACTGAAGCTTCACTGCACTAGGTATTCACACATGCCTGTTTGACGCATGATACGCCATGCATGTATCGATACATGTCTCACTTACATATTGACTTTCAAAAGTAATATTTTGATTCTGCAACAACCCACCCTGATAAATACTCTAGTGTTACTGTAACAACAAAACAACTTGTTAAATCTGATTGCATAAATTATCATATCAATTATGAGTAAGACATATTCAGAACAAATCCTAAATTAACCAGGGCTTTGTTTCCCAAAGCGAATGTAGCAAAATGACTCATAAATCGATGTTATAGTATAGGAATGATGATCGTCTTAGCGGTATGATCATCTTAGCGGTATGATCGCTTTGTGAAACAGGGCACAGTTATGCAAGTTAAACATAAACTTATTGATAGTAACAGACTCTTATCACCTGGCTACAAGAAAACTGTCGAATTCTGTGTAAAAATGGCCAAAAAGTACTATGTATCAAGATTCATGCATCAGAATATGTACTAGTATCAGGATGTGTAGTAAACATCACAACCCAACTAATTATCTTAAAGATTGTATTTACTTCAAGTGCATATCCCGGTTTCCAAGTTAATGGTTATTTGATGCATATTACCAACACAAAACAATATTACAAACACATTTGCTTTCATAAAACATGGCTTCAATAAAGGGTATAATATTTTATCAAAAATAGTCTGCAGACATCGTGCAACACATTCATGTGTGACGAACCATGCATCAACATCATCCTGGCAGTGCTGAAAGGGAGACAACTCTGTGCTGTCAGTTGCATCCCTTCCAACAAAAGATAGTGTTATGAATTTACTACTTACTCTTTTTCTTGAATTCCAAAGAGCATCTGTGCTGTTACAAGAGGCTTTTCTTCAGCGAAGATCATAAACTGTTCCAACACATACTCGATGAGGTCGCTGAAATCCTGCAATGAGTGAGTGAGTGAGTGAGTGAGTGAGTGACTTAACACTGTCGTCTACAATGTCCTGGCTACCGTAAATCATGAAATTAATGCATAAGCAAATGAATGCAAGCCTTACCCAAAATGCTCAAGTGTTAACATCATAAACAAAAAAGTGTTCAAGGTGTTCATGAAATGACATTTCTTACTGTACAATGAACTTCACACACCATTTCCGATTTCAAACATCAGGTTCAACATACAATCATATATATTGTCAAGGTCAAGGTCAAGGTCAGCAAACTGTAATAATTACACATCGCTGTTGACATTTCCTCAACTGCAATGTCAACAATGATGCATTCATCGCTGGGATTGTTTACACATTACTTCAAACTTGTCATTTTCTAAAGATTTAAACTGCAATGGTGTAAAACTTGGAGAACGGACTCAGACCCGATCTGACTCGTCCAGGTTGGTTGTATAAATAGAACACGGATCAATGTTCAAAACCACATGTAGTCCATATCATGATAGTTATAATGATAACTTGCAGCCATCAGCATATTGATATATCACAGATTTTGGTCAAGTCAAGTATATGTCTTAACCCTAAAATCGTAAAGCCCTAGATTTAAAATTTAAAAAAAGAAGAGAACACATCCAAGATCCCACCCACTTCTGACACTAAGCTTCTTTTGTCTGCACTCAGCAATATTCCAGCTATATGACGGAGGTCGGAATATAATCAAGTCGAAACCAGACAATCCAATGATTTACATCATGAGCACTGATTGACTGAAATGGGATACGATGACATGCATCAACCAAGTTATTGAGCCGGACCACCACATCCCGTTAGTCACCTCTTATGACAAGCGTGGGTTGGAAGACGAATTCTAACCTGGATCTTCACAGGTGTGCCTGTCAAGTAATTATTCTAATGTTTGGTGATCACATAAACATGATAAACATACTTACTGATGAAAGGAGATGCTTTTGTTCCAACATGTTCGAGAACGTTCTCATGATGGGGAGTTGCATGAGGCAGTGAGGTTCATTGCAATCCCCGGCAATATGATGCATCATTGTGAGTATGCATTCATTCAGGTCATTTTCATTCTGCTCAAAGTTCTCTAAGGCTTGGCCGTATTTTGCCATAATCTCAACTGTGGCAAACCTAGAATAATGAAAAATGAGACATGAAAACCTTAATTCTTTCTTGAAGAGTATTGCTGACTTGGCAGATCGGAAAGCAATCAGTTTTTCCAAGAATGAATAACTTTAATCGTTACACAAGAAAAATACTTTCATTCACAACCAGACCTCATTGAAATCTAATTACTTAATCAATTCTATTCCAAAAGCTGTGTAACTTTTAGAGTTAACCCTTTTACCATGGTAACCATGGTGACAAAGAAGCAAGCAGAAAGTATATAATATGTGAAAAGTTCTTACTTTTTGACATGTTCCAACATTGAAAAGTTGCCTGCAATTGTCTTATCAGCGCCCCACTTCTCCAAGATCAGAAGGAGGTGGTGGTTGGCGCAGATAAGGTTGCGGAGGTAGACAATGCCCTGGTTGGGGCAGCGATGCTGCCTTAGCAGAAGCACAAAGACTTCACGTAGGTGGGTCATCCCCATTAGACTCTCTACAAACACAAATACATTTGTTTGTTAGTTTGTTTGTTTAACATGTATAGTGCTGTACACTATCATGTAGGCATTCTGCAGAAAATCTTGTCTGGATCAGACAATCCAGTGACTGACATCATTGAGCATTGTTTTACTTTGAATACCCCACTTAGACACAGTATACTGACTCTGAGTCAACCAGTCCTTGTTTTAACCCCATAATGCCATTTTCCAGGCAAGGTAACAACAAGTACCATCATTAAATGCCTTTTGGTACGACTCGCCTGGGGATCGAACCCACAACCTTATGCTCTGTGGGCAGACACTGTCCACTAGGCCACGGAGGCGGTCGCTCCATGAAGGAGAAGTTATGCTGGACTCTTATGCAACCATGTGTATAGTGCTGACAGACAAAGGATCATGTGTGGACAAAACATGATGATCATCAAATACTGGCATGACCAAGGGAGGTAACTCTGCACCTTCAATTCTGCTTACTTGAACAGCAGTGCCCCATTCAATAATGATCACTTCTATAATAGGACAGTTTAACCAACTTAACACCATGTTTCTTCTATCTAATTTATAAGGAACTCTATCTTACCTTTGATGCTGGAGGTTATGAGATGCTGGCTCTCTGGATCCTCTATAGCAGAGAGCGTCAAGCGGAACAGTTGCATCAGAGACAGAACAGTGAGGTGGAGTCTGTAGGGAACAGATGGAGGAGTGAGTCACGTAGTTTGGATTAACGTCAATTCTGGGGCTGGGGCGAGTCACAAAAATACAGCCTGGGTACCCAACACCCTATCACCTGACCCTACCCAGGTACCCACTGTAGATCTCAAGAGTTGGGTACAAAATGTCTGATTGGGAATTGATTCACTGGAATCCTGGCAAATATTTAGATACATGTATAAAACAATCTGATCATGATTAAAGTTTTATCTTTGGTTTAAGTATAAAGGTAAAAAAGGATGCTTGCATAGTCAGAAAGAAATGCAAACACAAGCCACTTATATTTTTGTTGTAATCCAACATATATCATGTGATCAACCAGGGTCCGGGTAGTCATGCGCGTACCCAGTCCGGGTAGTCCTGTGCGCACCTGGTTCCAACTCAGGACCCACTTGACTCAAGTTACCCATCCCAACCTTACTAATTTCAGTGATTCAGTTCATTCACAATGTGCCAGCTTAAAGTTGGAGAAAGCAGGATACCAAGCCTAATTGAAGATTTGGAGTAAGAAGAGTAATTATATGTGAAAAAACAGTTGTGAAACCAAACTATCAAAACCCAATATTAATAACCTGCCGATTTCAGGTTCATAGTTTTATTACTTACTTATTTTGTGTGAGGTCACACCACTGCTTCTGGCGTTGAAGTGACCACTGCTTTTCGCAGCAATCGACAGCGATGTACACTAGGTAGGATACCAGGTTACCGTCCAGGCACTTTCTGAAATGACACATAAACAAAACTGCTAAAGTGTGTTTTGAGTTGTTGTTGGTATTATGTCACTACTTCACGGGTCGTATGTGTGTATCCATTAATTCCATGCTCGTTTTTGTTTTTCGAACCTATGATACTAAGTTTCACGTGACACTCATCAGCATACCAGAATAGTAACAACATTTTTTTTAACTTACACAAGACTGTTGACGGGCAAGGCCTGTTGTCTAGCGAAGCGGAGGAAAAATGATATGCTCCATAGTAGGTAGGAATTGTCCAATATTCTGCTGTTCGATGACAAGGTAAGTTTCTGAAAAAATATACCCATAAAAATGGTCACCACCTTTTAACAATGAATGAATTGAGATTAACCACACTTTCATCAATATCAGCAATTTTTCCAGCAAAACCACAGCAATATCAGCATTATTCCAGTAATATCCCAGCAATATCAGCAAAATCCCAGTAATATCAGCAAAACCCCAGCAAATTCAGCAAAATCACAGTAATATCAGCAAAATCCCAGCAATATCAGCAAAATCCCAGCAATATTACAGCAGGGAACCTACACATTACTCCTTACTCCTCAAATAATTGTCTGGTGCGCATGCATAGCAAATAATGTCCATTGTTCTCACCGACAAATCTCCAATAAAACCAGCGTATCCATCGGCGAGAAACTGTTGTGCAAGGTCAGTCAAATATTGTCTGTAAAAACACAGAGAAAAATGAGTTAATGGAGGGGTGGCATTTAACCCTTTAAGCAACATAATTTTCAATACCACTTACAATAGGAGTTACAACATCGAGGGGTCCAGACCTACGTCTGTTACTTACCCAACGACATCCTCCAGAGAGGGGTCCACGTTGCAATGGACCGACACTTGCAGGCCTGGGTAATGATGACTGCTATGGTGGACACCTACTTCCTCCACCTTCGGCTTGTTGAGCTCCATGGTGTCCATTATGGCGGTGATGTAGCGCCGCTGTACGGTCGGATCCTCAAGGTCGGCTGTGGGGGACAGACGGCCCCCCATATCAATTTGGTTCAGGCCCATGTTTGCCATTGCCTGCAAGCACTGCTCCTCCTCGGAGTCCACGGAGGGGATCGGCTGGGAGGACATTGCTTGTTGTGCAGCAGGTCGCAGCAGGATCCTAACCTGTTTACGATAATGAGGCTTGTCAAATTATGTTTTCCAGCTGAACCCTAAATTTGCCCCCAACCCTAAAATTTTCTTATTTTTTAGCAGTTTAAGAATTTATTTCCAACGGAAATTCCAACTTAAAGTTTTTGCACTAGATTTGACCTCTTGCGCAATCCATACCATTTTTACCTTAAAGAGGTTTGAAAACCAAACTGATGGAGACGTCAGTGCTCCAGATAAACTGTGAATTTGCATAAAACAGCATTGCCTGTATGTATCACACATCCACTGTATTCGCTATAGTAAATGCTGTGCTCTAGTAAGTGACCCCAATCAACTTCAAACTGTAATAACCATGAACGCCCCCAAGAAAGACAGACGACATACATTATAGTCCATACTTTTGGAACATGAAAGATTTTTTAAAGAAATCAGTAGCACAGAATAGGCATGTCCCTGTCAAGAATCTATTATCATATTTCTGACAGTTTCATCAACATTTGATCCGAGTTTATTCTCAACAACAACAAATTTAACTCATAAACAGTTTTATCAACTACCCGCTTTATCGACTTTTTTAAGCTCCCAGAGCTCTTATTACAGGGAATATGGTGGCTAAATACCAATATAGTGAGTGAGTGAGTTTGTGTTTAACGCCGCTTTTAACAGTATTCCAGTTATATCACAGCGTGTCAGCTTAATGTGAGAGGAAAGCCCGAAGTGATGCAGGTATCAGACGTTTACCACTTCGGTGAAACCCACGAGCACGGGTATGGTGCTGACAAACCTAGAAACATAATCGGGGCGAACCGGGACTCGAACCCACAATCATAGGTTTCTGGCGTGCCCAAGGGACGCAACTCTGTACAGCGAATTGTGGCGCCTTAGACGACTGGGCCACCCATGCCCCCAAATACCAATATATATATATATCATTAGCTGAATATATTGTAGATTTACTCACATTATCTTTATAGAGGAAGGAGAGGATCTGAACAATAGACACGGTGAACGTCATCTGAAATAAAAGCAACTTCCTGTAGCCTGAATGGAAAGAGTGTAAATATCACAAAGCTGCAACAACATAACTGTCTTACAAGTGTGTTTGTTGTCGAACGCCACACTCCAATATTCCAGCTATATTAATGTAGCATGTAAATAGTCAAGTCACAACCAGACAATCGAGTGATTGATATTATGAGCAACAATCCATGCTATCAATGCATGATACGCCATCAACCAAATCACTGTCATCCCATCCATTAAGTTGCTTCATGGGACCAGCATAGGTACCTGGGGACCTTTTCTAACACACAATCCCCTTTAGAGGTGCATTGTAAGTGAATGAATTATGTTTAATTCTGTAATATTACAGCTTTCTCGACACTGTAAATAATTGCAAACAAAGTTCTGGTTGAGGTCTTGTGACAATAAGGTGTGTACCTACCTTCTGGGGATGCCGAATAATTGCCATTATCATCTTGTCCAGTCCACTTTCAAAGATCATTCTGAGGGAGATAAGTTGTAGCTTGATGATTTGTCGCAAATATATCTGCTTCAAAAAACAAGCTAGACATTTACTGATTTAACTTTATCTGTAGCCAACAGATGGGAGAATGTCATCTAAACCTCTACTAGAGGTCAAGGTCAAACAAAGACATGGTAAAGGTCAACTAAACCTCTACTAGAGGTCAAGGTCAAACAAAGACATGGTAAAGGTCAACTAAACCTCTACTAGAGGTCAAGGTCAAACAAAGACATGGTCAAGGTCAACTAAACCCTGGTAGAGGTCAAGGTTGTATAACCAATGCCTTGCTTAAGGTTAACCCAAATAAGAGCCTAGGTCACCCAAAGTTAAAAGACTGAGCTCTAACCTTAGTTTGAAGTTATTGATGTGTTCTTTTCGGTCCGTTTCTCCAAAGTAGAACAAGTTTCGGATCAGCAATAGACAGTAGTTGATAGTTTCACAATCCAAAGGATTCAGGACACCATTTGAGGCCTGGAGGGAAATAAAATCATTTCAGAACAAGCTGGAAATATGTTATTTTTGAGTCAAAATACTGAGATTTGAAATCAACAAAGGATCCTTCTCTGCAAGGTGAAATTGTATTTTGTTTTTTCGTTTGGGTTTCGAAACTGCTTGTAGAAATATTTTCATCCATTTCAAAGCGGCCTGTGAAACAAGTGATCGATACTAGGAGCATCTTCGCACACCACTGGGGACTGATGACAAGCAATCAACCAAGTCTCTGAGCTGGACCATCCAATCCAAATTAGTTAATAAATTGAATTAAGTTAAGAATTTGTACAGCACATTTTCCAATTAACAATTGCTCAAATGCGCTTAGACCATGATTGATCTAGTCAAAGGCTATCATGAAGAGACAGGTCTTGAGTGTTTTTCTCAAGTCAATATTGGGGTGATGTGTTCTCATTTAGGTGTTTTTGCAGCTGTATTCTGATCAAGCTGTATCTCTGACAAACAATGTCGCTGGAACTTTTCTAACCTAGGTTCCAAGTGACTTAAAATCAAGTGAGTGAGTGAGTGAGTATGGTTTTACGCCGCTTTTAGCAATATTCCAGCAATATCACGGCGGGGGACACCAGAAATGGGCTTAACACATTGTACCCATGTCGGGAATTGAACCCAGGTCTTCGGCGTGACGAGTGAACGCTTTAACCACTAGGCTACCCGACTGCCCCGACTTAAAATCAAGAGAATATGTGCATCTAAAGAAAACTGTGTTTTCCTAACCATTTCCAGACGATTCATAACTTCTTTCTTTATCTTAGCAAAGAACTCCACACTCCAGCAGACGTCGTCAGCTTGTTTAAGTAAGATGAGCACCGCCCTGGCCCGCGCCTGCTCCGCAAATTGCTCCAGATGGCTATTTTGTCCGAGACTCAAGGGTTGAGTTAGAAGCGAGAGAAGTCTGCAGACAAACAGGGTAACAGATCATGAGCACTTGTAACAATACGGCGATACACATACAATCTCATCCGAGTGTCTTTTGATATAAAATAAATCAACACTCGTTGATAAAAGTGGAAAAATCCGAGGCTTGCCTTTTCTTATTTAACCCCGCACTCAGCAATATTCCAGCTATATGGCAATAGCCTGTAACGAACAGTCTGGACCAGACAAACCAATGATTGATATTGTGAGCATTGATCCACGCAATTGGGATATGTGACATGCATCAACCAAGTCAGCAAGCCTGACCACCCGATCCCGTTAGTTGACTGGAAATACTAATGACTATGTTTCCCAATACGGAAAATACTGGTAGATTGTGTTTTTAAAATCATGAACATTTTCATCTTGTTTGCTAAGTTTACATAAGCAACAAATCAAACTGAAATTATGAAATTTGTGTGATCAAAATAGTGAAATTATTCCGACCAGCTTCCTAATGTGTCTGTTGTGCGTGCATTGTAACCATGGCAACATTCAACAAAATGGCAGACCCCTACGAAGAAGTAACTACAGAGAAAAGAGGCCTGAAATATATTGTGCGAAGTATTGCCTGCATGAATGAAAGTCAATAGAATACCTATCACCATGAATAAATGAATGAGTTAGAGGATGAAATCTGACAATTGATGATTTCCTCTGGAACCAGAGAAGCGAACATTCCCTTGCTTACTTACTCAATGGCCGCCTCAAACAGTTCGGAGTCTTCCTCTAAGGCCATGAGGAGAGGCAGAAGATCCTGGAATGACAAAACATACATTTGAGCATTGTTGAGTCCACCAAAAAATGAAAAAGTCAAATATCAGTCTTCTTGACTACTGGTAATAACCAGTTTTGTACCAGTAAAATCCGGCTTGGACTGGTAATTCATGTGACTGTCAGTCCCTGGGGACCGGCAATTGAAGTACCTTATAAATCTTTGTTGCTGAACAAAACATTGGCAATATTTTTCGAACCAGGTCACCTTGTCTGTTACCATCAGGGTTTCCCCTTGTCAAGTTTTAATGCAAGGCAATAACATTGGGCTCTGCTTTGAGGTGAAATATATATTTGTAGTGACTTAGTCTCAAATTATTAAAAAAAAGAAGAAAATTGCGACTGAACTTTGTGTGAATTGACGTATCGATCTAACTAAGTTACTTCAGTGATGACGTCACTGCATTGAACATGATGTTGAAAGAATTAAAACCAGGTAATTTTCATATGTTTTTAGTATTTGTTGAGAGATGGGATGGACAAAAGTCATGGGACACTGGTAAATTTTAGAGTTGCCAGTCCATTAGGACTGCCAGGACTGGCAGTTTCAAAAACCCAGCGTGACACTGAATAGGCATGCCAATGCATCTAAGTCACGTAAGTTTCCACACAATGCTGAAAAATCAAACATTCATTACCTTCCACAAAATGGTTTTGCGAAGCTAAAAGTAATCTTCCCTCTCTTCCCTGTCAATTTTGAAAAAGACTAAAGAAAAAAGAAGAGTATTTCAACTGGTCTGGTATCAGCAACGAAACACTCACCTTTCTAATAATGTCCTGCTGTCCAAGTTTCTGTCTGATCTCACCATCATCGCCGTCTGATGTTAGCAGCAGACTCAACATTTCTTGAAGGGTCTCTGCAACAGAACGACTACCTACTAAATAACCATAAATGCCGAAGTAGCCATCCAGAATTCTCTGTGGATAGCGGACAATCTCAGTCCTAACCATATCTGAACAAACATTTGAACTGAAGCTAAGTTAAATTGTTACAACAAGCTTGGATTTGATTGGCTGGGAACTGATCCACGATGGATCTGATTGGCTAGGAAATGTCGTGGCAAATTATCAAGTAGTTTGTTATTCACATTACTGAAGAGCCTTGCTTGCCAAAACCAGAATAGTTTATGTAGGCATCAACAAGGATTGAAGTGCAGCAGCCTCCAAATGCCTCTCCAAAGATGCATCGCTCACACGTCTCAGACAAAACATACAGCTGCATGCAATTTGAGAAATAATGTTGTGTAAGAAGTCCAGGCTGACAGATCACGTGGATGTGATGGATTTATTTTTATTTTTTTTTTTGTTTTTTATCACTTGGCTTGCAGACACAGTGACCCATAATTTTACAATTTTTAATAACAGTAAAATTTTGAGAGGGAGTCAATACAAAAAAGAAACCCTTTTCACCTTTCATTAAAAACACCCAGCGCACATTTTTTCATTTATTATTTTTTTACGGGATCACTTTATTCTAATGAACAAGCCCAAGTCTGAGAAACGTGTATACAGCTGATTGCTACTTCCGGCTTAGTTTACGAGAAAATACACGGTAATCTTAATCTCTGCATATAAAACAATGCCTATCAGAACAAGAAATACAATTTAATCGGTAAATGATCATGTCTAGTGTTTTTTTATCTCAAATTTTAAATTGTTTAATTGTAATGATCTGATCGTTTCCCTGAATTTGCTGAATGGAAACGATGTCCATTTTTTCTGCGGAAGACAAACACGTTTTTATTGCAATTGTAGGGATTGTGTATGCACTGGTGACGTGCCTCAAAACAAAACCAGGTAGAGCCGTAAATTTCAAAGGCCGGGTCGTTAGGTTTAAAATGCACACCAGTAAAAAAATCAATGACCCAAACTAGTTTTTTATGTTACAGAACCAATGTTCCATCAATTGGTGATTGCGAAGTTACTTACCTTTGCATTCATCGGATACAAAGTATATTCCATTGGCCATAAAACCCATCTCGGTCTCTAACAGACCAATAGGGTTCATTAAGCTCCACTCCATAGTGGAAGGTATCTGTAAATAAAAATACCAGACATAATTGAGGGACCAGTCATTTATTAATCGGGAGTAACTAGCAGAGTGAATCATTCAGGGGAGGGTTCACCCAAAAACTATGACAGTCAAAAAAAAAAGTTGAAAAAAAGGACATAAAATAATAATAATGTGATTTTGCATTTTGAGGGAGGGTAACAAAAAAAACAAAAGAACATGAGGAGCGCCATCCAAAAATATGACAAGCATTAGTGAAAGGTCAGTATTTTTAGTACGTTTGTGCATGAAAAAACCCTCACACACCCACCCCCTTAATTATTCCGTACAGAGATTGAGGTGAGCATGGTGAGTGAGTATGGTTTTACGCCACCTTTACCAATATTTCAGCAATATCACGGCAGGGGACCCGGATACCCACAGGACTACCCGGACCCGTGGTTAGTCAGGTGATATATTGATTAATGACAAAAATTCACCATAACTGAATGGTTACACAACAAGTTACTAATGTTCACATTTCTTGACTACATACGCATTTCTTCAAACTAATGATAGAGCTCCAGTCAGCTTCAGTGTGCACATGGCTTGATCGTTTCATATGTGTAACTGAATACTTTTTGTTTGGGCTCCGGTAAAACAATTCCCAATCGGATATTTTTACCCAACTCTTGAGACCTACAGCTGGTACCCGGCTCGGGGTAATAGGGGGCTAGGGGGTTGTCCAGCTCTAATCCAATTATTTTGTACCTTAACAAGAATTCTCTGTTACAATATATCCTCAAATGTGTTTCTGTAACCAGACTTTTCCATACACCAAACACAACTATGTGCTGCATTTTGGAGAGTCTGATAGCAATTGTCCATATTTAACTCATTCTTAGTGATCTAAACATCCAAAGGCAAGACAACTTTCCAAGTGTCGGAATCTCTGCACCGCTCTCAAACAACTAACAAAAAACTATCAGCTACAAATATAGCTCCAAGTAATTTTCATTCCCTCAATATCTATAGATTCTATCAGCATTACCTAAGGCTATAGATTCTATCAGGATTACCGACCCGTGAAGATCTGGGGTAGAATAGGTGTTCAGCAACCCAAGCTTGCCGTGAAAGGCGACTATGCTTGTCGTAAGAGGCGACTAACGGGATCGGGTGGTCAGGCTCACTGACTATGTTGAAGCATGTCAAAAAGTGGGTGCTTGCTTCTCAATGGTTTATACTGACTGTCCCTGAACCCTTTTTTCCACCAAGCACTGGGTGTGCACACAGTGTGTCCTATATACATACACATTGGTGCTGGACATAAACAGTTTAGATTTCTGGTCCCGTAGGACAAAATAACTTATGGCTACTTGAAATATGAAATTTAATTTCACATTTACCATGCTCAAATTGTTTTCTAAATTTAACAGCCTCGCTGTTTGTTATTGAACTACATCAACAATTATAACAAACATATGTAAAAGAAACCTAATTAACATGTTAAAACTAAAAGAAAAATCATAATGAAAAAACCATTTGGTCAAAATAATCATCTCACAAAAACAATAATTCTGTAGTATCATAAATGTTTGTCATCTATTCTATTCATAGTTATTTGCATTATTAATCGTGTGACTATTTAATAGACAGATGATTAACCGACCGTGGATGTTACTTGGGTAAAATATCGTCCATAATGTCTCAAGAACATTCCATACATTGCTACACCTGTAAATTCCAATCACCAGCTGATCACGCACCTGCTAAAGAAATTGACTCATTAACTATATCCTTAATGGATGTACATAGCGATACATACCTGTTCTCTGAAAATCTACTGTCCTTCTCACATACACACTAACATCCGCCTTACTGTTTGTGAGAATCTGTGTGAATACTGAAGTCCGTTGACAACTACAAATGTACAAGGTCTGACTGACCTTGACATTGAATTATACAAAAGAAGACCTTACACAAGCCTTACACAAGCAGAGATGCTGCTAGCTCACCACATCGCAGGGTATATATCAATGACGGTAAAGCGAGTTCTATGGAGCATGTGAGGAGCAAAGAGAGCAGACGGAGTTCGTTTAAAAATTGGGACGAACAAAGCCGCTCACGTGTCGCCGTTTGTGTGCTGTCATAAACCTCCAAAATCGACAAAAATATCTCAAATTACGGTAAAAAGTCGCCAACACATATGTAAAAGTTGTACTATAGTCATAAACGCCCATTTAGCCTCGTGATTGACGCGAATCGGCAGAGACAATAAATACAGTTCGCATAATTTAGCTATTAATATATAATGTATGTATATATGTAACAACGCGACCTAGAAAATCGTCCTCGCTGTCACGATAGCGTATGAACTGCTGTCAATCGATGTGCGTACACGCAATGTCAAACACGCCCCATAGCAAAGAACGCTCGATGTATCTAATGTATATAGGCATATATATATATATATATATATATATATATATATATACAGACAATTATGGTGTTTGTAAGAGGCAATTTTAATGTGGTAAACGGGGAAAAAAAGTGTGTGTATACTTTTATTTCCCGTTTAACAAATTTAAATTGCCAGTTACAACCTCAAACACCAATCCGTTACGCGAAATAATTATGTCTGCATGTAGACTTTTCGTAAAAAATAAACGCAGTAATAAATCAGGAGGTAATTTTTATCTTTAGGAACCGACTTTTGGGGATTAAAATAAGCAAAATAAATGTTAACCTATTTGGATGCCGGGATATGTCTCTGTTTTATGATACGATTTTAGTGAAGTTAAAATAAATGAACCGTTTTTGACCGACTATTTGATATAATCTGTAAATATGCTTTAAAAAATACTTGGAATTAATTTTTAATTTGCTCCTGTCCTACACAAAAAAAGTAATTAAAATGTAAACTTGATTATGTGTTATGTGGAAAGGTGAGGTGAAATTGGGTTTAAGGTCGCGTCCAAGATTATTGCACTTATATAGCGACGTGCATGCACGTGTATGTGTGTGTGTTGCTGCTTGTACTAGTCCGGACTGATGCCGATTTATAGTGCTAGCTCACTGAGATACCATGCCGCAGTTTAACATGAATATCCCACTCAGACACAGTATACTGACTCCGAGCCGACCAGTCCTTGTTTTAGCCCCTTAATGCCGAGCGCCAGACAGGGTAACAACAAGTACAATCTTTTAACGTCTTTTTGTATGACGCGGCCCGGGATCGAACCCTGGACCTTCCACTCTCCGGGCGGGTTATGTGGATAGAGAGGAGAACAAGCGTTTGACAAAAACAAACGTTCTCTCCTGAATGAACGGCTTTTGCAGTGACCGAAACACCGCCCCTACATGTATATGTGCCGGCCTCTCAGAAAAAAAATATACAAAAATTATTCGCTGCACTTTGGACGAGCTAGGTATCTGCATGTGGACTATGTGGCTCTGTCATAATCGCCTCACATGCGCTCAAACGACCAGTGAAAGACTATTGACGTCATTGCAGAAGGTCAACCACAATCTTGTCGGCAGCTGTATCGCTGATACCCTATATAGCTATATTACGTCAAACCTGGACCAAATGCTGTTTTTTTCCATCCCACTAAAGGTTAATTCGACCTATTTCATTCCAGAACCAAGGTGTGTGTGTGTGTGTCTGTGTGTGTGTGTGTGTGTGTGTGTTTGTTTCAAAAGTACCGTATTTCCTCTATTAGACGCTCGGGCTTCTATTTGTTTCGGACAAGCCTTTGACCCGGCGTCTATTGGAGGCCCGGCTTCTATTAATACCCCCATTTCACTATGACCACGAATGCCCCGAATCGTCACGAAATGGAAATATTTTGTGTTCGTAGATATCCGTAGATATATCTCAATCAACTCTCGAAATCCGTAGTTGAATCGTTAGGGATCATTACTTGTATCAATTGATCGACCCGGCGTCTATTAGAGGAAATACGGTACTTCCAATTTGAGTGTGGGTGTGTGTATTTAAGAAATAAAGTTTACTCTAACCCCCCGTGCAGTGTAATAAAGTATAGTTTCGCCCCGAACTATATCACTCAGCTATCCCATTAACATATTCATATCGTGTGAGAAAGCCGGCCATTGGTAGTGGATATACTCTGGAGTCACCCCATCCGGGCAGACAAATAAGTGTGAGTGAGTGAGTGAGTTATTTTACAGTATTTCAGTTATATCTATCACGCCGCTGTTTAACGCGACACTCAACAATATTCCAGCAATTATGACGGCGCTCTGTATATAATCGAGTCTGGACCAGACAATCCAGTGATTGATATCATGACCATCGATCTACGCAATTGGGATACGGTGACATGCATCAACCAAGTCAGCGTGCCTGACCATCCGATCCCGTTAGTCACCTAGAAATGACTACGTTTCACAATACGTAAAATACTGGTATATTGTGTTTTTCAAATTCATGCGTGTTTTCATCTTTTTTGCACAGTTTACATAAGCGACATGTCAAACTGAAATTATAACATTCAGAAATAAGCAACTGATTTGTGTGATAAACAAAGTGAAACTATTCCGACCAGCTTCATTATGTGTCTGTTACTCATGCATTGTAACCATGGCAACATCCAAAAATTAGCAGACGCCTACGAAGTTGTCACAAGTATGGGTTAATTATATTTACATTCATAACAAACTACAGAGGAAAGAGGCCTGCAATATATTGTGCGAAGTATAGCAATGCACGAATAAAAGTCAAGACAATATACCTATCACCATGAATAAATGAAACAGTTAGAGGACGAAATCTGACAATTGATGATTTCCTCTGAAACCAGAGAAGCGTACATTCCCTTTAAAGCAATTGTGTGTGTCACTGTGTGTGTGTGTGTGTGTGTGTGCGCGCGTGTGTAAATAGTGGAACCTGAATCAGATAATCCAATGATTGATGTTATGAGCAACAATAAATTATTAACGCCGTTGGGTATGGTGACACACAATCAACAACGTTTACGAGCCTGACCACTGGTGCATGAAGTCTTCTCTCAAGACCAGCACAGCTTGCTCGGGACCATCTCACCCGGAATCCCCACTGGTACCCACTTACGACTAACAATGAGGTACACATTCTACCCGGGCTCCTGACGCGGAAATAATGTATAAAATACTGTAACGAGTTGATAAAATCGATCAATCTGATTCCAACACAGTTCCCCAAAACGATTTAACACGTCAAGTTCCCGTTGAACGACGACAAACCAAATTTGTATTTCCAAACCTAAAGAAAATAAAAACGCAAACGCGTAGAAAGAACCGATCCCCAAGAATGGTTATATTTTAAAAGAAGCTAATCTCCCTTTAATGCAAATCCTAGCTTGATTGGCCCCAAATACAAAACAAATACGAGAGTATAATGAGTGAGTATGATTTTACGCCACGTTTAGCAATATTCCACCACTATCACCAGTGGACGCCAGAAATGGGCTCCACACATTCTATAATGGGCTTCCATATAACCTATGCTTTCCTTTATAAGAGTGCTGGGGGGTATATAGATTATCAGTCGGGTTTAAACGGGGTCGTGACCAAAGTCAGTACCACACGATTGCAAGAGATATAATATAACGAGACACAAAACACTGCACATATTCATTGATAGATGTTCCATTGAGAAATGTATATTTGAATTATCCTTTAGAGCCTTCATATATATCAGCGATTTGATTTGATATTCAGAAGCGGTGTGGGTAGGGGTGGGGTGTCCAAAGCTCCAGATAAGCTGCGTATCTGCGTAAAATACACATCAGAAATGCAGAAATACACAGTAAAATATAATCCAAGCGTATCAAATACGCAACGAACATTACAGATACGCTACAAAAATAAAACGTGTGCGTATCATCAAAATATTGTGAAGTAACCCTGCGTATTCGATTAGCAAATCAGCAACCTATTTTGAAAAAAAACGTTTGCCATCACACTTTCTTGTGGAAGTATCGTGGTATTTTTGAGTCCTATAAAGCTCTCGAACCCACAAGACACCAGTTTGCAGGGACTAGATGAATAGTGTTTTTAAATATTTAACCTAAATACCCACATGTGTAAAAACTAGTGGGTAACAGAAATTTGAATACGCAGATAGAATTACTGATACCCAATGATTTTAAAATGCATGGGTAAAATACCCACAACACCAAAAGCTTATCAGGAGCTCTGGGTGTCTCAAAACGTAATTTTAATTTTGTTTTAATAATGTCCCTTCTCTTGCATGCAGTTAAGCATCCACAGATAACAGTTCGTTATCTTGATTTAATTACAACAATAATTGAGCACCTAAACATAAAAACATGATAATCTCAAACCAAAATCTCCACCCCTAAAAATCAATTAGTTGTTCCCTCATGGGAGAGTTAGTGTACTATAGCAAACAGTGTCAACATGGGCGTTTGATTAATTTAAAATTTTAAAAGCTTGCTTTCGACAAAAGGAAATTACCAAAACAATGAAGACAAATCTTTTTAACCTTTTCTGGGCCATGACGTGAAACATAACTTGAACATCAATATCAAAATGTAGATGTATGTGAAATAGTTACAGACAAACTTGGTCCCGATTGCCTCTTTGTATCGTTCGACGTCAAGGATATTAAATGAGTTTTTAAAGTTAAAAGGTATAATGTATCCGCTTTTTCATACTTCTACCTGTTTAGTGAGTGAGTGAGTTGGGTTAAACGCCGCTTTTAACAGTATTCCAGTTATATCACGGCGAGTCAGCTTAATGCGGGAGGAAAGCCCGAAGTGATGCAGGTCTCAGACGTTTACCACTTCGGTGAAACCCACGAGCACGGGTATGGTGCTGACAAACCGAGAAACATAATCGGGGCGAACCGGGATTCGAACCCACAATAATAGGTTTCTGGCGTGCCCAAGGGACGCAACTCTGCACAGCGAATCGCGGCGCTTAAGACGACTTGGCC